TCTTTCCCAACAAACCCCGCTTATCCACATGCTCACAGATCTTACTCTTTCTTTGTTGACTCTGTTGTTTTACCAGGAATAGAAGTTAGGTTTCTTGGTTAGTAACTCTGTAGCTCTCAATATGCCCTCTAGAGCACTTCTTGAGGACTGGAGTTGTACTGACACTGTCAGTCCTGGTACAGTGGCCATTTGTAATGGTAGATGATGCACATCCGACAACAGCCCTGCAGTTTAACATTTTAGTTCCTTCAGTTCTTGTGAGAAAGCTGTCTTCTGGTTACAGTCACAGGCAAAATAATGGAAAAGCTGACACAGGATTGGTTCAGATGAAAATGATAATATGAGAATATAAGAACATATTGAATGACACTTTAAAGCAAATCTTACTTCATTCTTTCCCTGTGTTCACAGATATGTTTTCTCTTGGGGAACTTTGGTTGCAGAGAGAGAAGTCAAAACAGGCCTCAGAGGATGCTGGAGGATAGCCTAGGGACACAATCGGTGTCTCTCCAAGGACAGATGGAATTTCCTTCTTCAGTTGTAATACTAATGATTCTTTGTAGGTCATTCCCCGTGGACTGGCATCTCGCAGTGGGCTGCGTGTAGGGGACAGGATCCTGGAGGTCAATAGTATTGACCTGCGCCATGCCACCCACCAAGAAGCAGTGAATGCCCTGCTCTCCAACACCCAGGAGTTGACCATGTTAGTAAGGCGAGATCCGCCACCACCTGGTATGCAGGTAAGTTCTGGGTAAGAGAACTGGGGGGAATCGCACTCTTCTTCATAGAAGGATCACTTTTGAAGGCCGTTTCTTATCTAGCTGGAAGTCTGGGACTAGAATACAACCAAACTTGGGGTTGAAGTTTCCTTCTCTTGTGGCAGAACCCAGTCTCTTGGAAGTATATATCCAGTTGAGGACTGTGGAGGGTCTGTTGCCATGCCCATGGTGATACTGTGATTGGAGAATGATCAGATTTCATGAACACCAGACCTGAACGGGAGACAGAAATACAGAAAAGGGTAGAGCCTCATCAAAAGGAATAAACTGTGCCAAATGAGTGAAAGTTCTAATTCAGGCCCTTTTCAGGGTAGTTAGAATATGACCAGCTACTAGGAGTGTTTCCTCAACAATTCCAGTCTGAACTTGACCTAGAAACAAGGAGACTTTTTCTGTGTTTACAGGAAATATGCATTGAAAAGGCTCCAGGAGAAAAGCTGGGCATCAGTATCCGGGGTGGAGCAAAAGGTCATGCTGGAAATCCATTTGATCCCACTGATGAAGGCATCTTCATTTCTAAGGTACCAGACCACTAACTCTGCAACTTGGTTGCATGCAAGGACTGCTAGGGAAAAGAGTGATCCCTGTGGCATTTGTTCAATATGCTCTCTCCACTTTTCACTGAGTACATCAATCCTCCTGGAGTATTCTCCATTCACTGAAGGAGGCACATCTGTTTCATATTTCCTCCTCTACGCCAGCTACAAAATTTCTTCTTTCATTTCCTATGTTTGCCTTTTTTTTGTCTTGTGTTTCTTCTCTTGCTTTTTTTTCTGTAACATGAACCCATACATCTTTCCTTTTCCCCTCCATTCCCATTGCTTCACCCAAGTGCTTGTGGCCTTCCTGCCCACTCAAACATGCATGCTCTTTCCTCTTTTCATTGAAAGCATTATGAATTGCTCACCTTTCCTCCTGAGCCACGCGCTGTGTTTGTAGTTTTGTTCCCTTTCCTTTGTAAATGACTGCTTGTGTGCATACTTATTTGTCATGTCACTTTACCCCAAGAAGTAATACGTATTTTCTTTTCAACAATATGCTGTGTATAAGCTTATGCTCCTCCCAACCCTTACCAAAAAGTATTGCCTCTTCTTTCTTGTTAGCAACAGAGCATAGTGATAAGCGGTGTAATTTTTGGTTTTGCTGCTGACCAAAGGGGGGCCTCTGGATCTTCACATTAGTGTCACTGGTTCCCTCTTTAGCTGGTATGGTAGGGTAGAAACTCTGCTTTAGCTCTAGAGGTCTTAATAATCCTTGGATGGTGCACACTCCATAATTGCCAGTTAACCCTTTCTAATAATTGGCTACTTTCAAGGAAAGGGTATACTCAGCATTTGTTATTACTTGGGTATAACTTCTTTATCTGAGTTTTAAAGTTAAAAGAGTAAATTCACTCTATCAAAGTAATAGTTGCACATTCAACTGCAATATTTGTAATAGCAGTAAAAGAAAACCTAAGATTATTGTAACCTGCAATTATTTTTAATGATTAGGTTTGTTTTTTATCTCCTTCAGTGTTACAGCATAAATAGTAGTTATTTTAGCCTGTGGAGAACCAAAGCACTGAACTTTTTTGCTCTCCTTTCAACTGTGTTACTTCAGCTTGATCTCTCTTACCTGTCCTAACCAGAATGTTCGTCCTGCTTCTCTTATTTTGTCTGTATATTTCCAGTAACTGAGAGACAAAGTAGTGCTTTTTCTTTTTCCTCTTCTTTGGATGTCTGATTACTACCTTCTTTCTCCTTAGTTTTTTCGTAATTTGCATTTCCATTGGGTCTTTTACTTGTCTTTTTTTTTTTTTTTTTAAATGTTGTAATCTGGTTCTTCCTTTTTAAAACCTTCTTGATGAAGTGTTACCAGTTGAATGCCGTGAGAAGTATAAATTATACCTACAATTTGAAATTCATGATCTTTCTCAATGGGGATAGCTCAGTGTCCCTCAGCGACATATCAGTAATACAGATGACAGTTGGCATTAAGAACATTTTTCTACATTAACTTCACCTCCTCCCATTATTTCTGGGTGTTCTACTGTCACACTTATGCACTTGCTCTCCCTGGAAAAGAAATTGTGAGTACTTGGTCTTTTTCCATTCAGCTGCATGTGACCACTTTTTGCATGCACACGCACTCACACACACTTAAATGTTTTCCTTTACAGCCCTGAAGAAATTATGTGTAGGCATGCATGACTGCTTTCCCATCCCCCAAACCTAAAAAAAAATTGCATGCAGCATTTTTTCCTCCTCTTTTTACAGGTACTTTATTAAACATATATCTGTTGGTTTTTTTCTCCAAAACAGCTCTCGTAAATCCAGTAAACACCCATGCCTTTGGTTTGTTTTGGGGTTTTTTGCCTCTCTGATCCCAGTAATATGTGGTGTGCAGTAGTCCTTTCTTTCCTTCCTCTGATGTTACCTGTGCCTCCATCCTACCTTGACAACCAGTCATGCATGTTCTTGCATTTCCCCCACCCAGCAACCAACTTTGTGTGCCCTTGTGCTCCCCTTAGTCTCTTGTCATAGATCTACAGGCTTTGCTTGAAATCCCTGATGTTGACATATTCTTTCTGCGAAGCCCTTGTGTAGCACTGGTCATAATTCTCTTTGTAAAGCTTAGTCATGTTGGTTCTTTGGTTTTGAGACTGGGCCTTTGAATTGAAGCCGTTAATTTCTCTCTGGTGTTCCCAGTGCGGTCTTCTGTATACCAAATGTACCAAGGTCTTCATTTGATCTAACTTAACTGTGTATACATCCCATTTTGTTCCAGGCTTTTTGGTTTCCCATTAGAAAAAGTAATGCCCATTTGGTGATTCTGTTCCTTTCCCTAAGGCACTTTGAGTTGTATCCTGTATTTCTGTCTGGTTCCTGATAGTAGCTTCTCCTATTGCCATTGTTCAATTTTTTTTCTCGCTTCCCCAGCTTGCATATTTCTCCTGAGCCTCATGTTTGCATGTGTTTGGGTGGTTTTTGTTTTGTTTTGTTTTTTTCCCTTATCTTTCACTTTGTACCCACAGCAAGTACTGCAGTCTCTTTTCCCTGTTCCGAAGGGGAAAAAAATGAATAAACCTCCTTGCCTTTACTACTTTTGTTCTGGTGGCAAAGCATGCACTTTCATTCTCTCCTCAAACATATATGGATGCGTGCACTCTTTAAGACAAACTCTGGCTTTCGTGTGCCTTATCAATATGCTGCATGTAGTTGCTTCCCCTGCTGATGCTTGTGTACGTGAGGCAAGTATGAGTTCTTGTGACTTGCTGAGGAAAGAAAATAGGAGTTACACGTTATTTCTCTGAAAGAGAGGATGGAAAATGACAGACATGCGTAATTTGTTACGCCTGTCTCTACCACAAAGACAGTGAAAAGTCTTTATGCCTCATTTATCCACAAAAATTATCCCTATGCTTGCCTTTTCTGTCTCTCTCCCAACAAAAAATTATTACACTTTCCTTCTGTGAAGATAAATCGTAGATGCGAGAGCTTTCTTTCTCACCTGCTTCATTGACAAAACAATAGCAGTTTCTTTCCTTGGGACAACACATTTCAAATACAGATTCTTTTTATCTCCCATAAAAGATTTCTTTCACACCTGTTTCCTCTACCAAACTGTACATGTTCTTCCTTTTCTACCCTCTCCGTAAGTATATATAAGTACTTCTACATGCTTTCCCTGACATGTAGCTGCAGCCTTTTTTCCCTGTTTCTGTTGTATGCTGTCCTCTCTCATTTCTTCTTCCCAATGGTCCCCATGCTCTCTAACCTTCTCTTACCTCCTTAGGTGATATCTTGACTCGCTCCATTTGTTATAGGTGAGCTCCTCTGGGGCTGCAGCCCGGGATGGCCGTCTGAAGGTGGGAATGCGGATCCTGGAAGTGAATCATCAGAGTTTGCTGGGAATGACACATACAGAAGCAGTACAGATACTCCGAAGTGTGGGTGATGCGCTCCTAGTGCTAGTGTGTGATGGCTTTGATCCCAAGGCTGCAGCTGCCATTGAGGTGAGAACTGAAGTGCAGGGTGCCCTCATAGTGACCAGTACCACAAGGATCCCACCTCTTTCTTCATAGAAGACTGCTGGATTTTTTTCCAACCTTTTGCTGTAGTTTGGTTTTGATTTTTTCTTTTTTTTTTTGAAGTCCCAGATTTCAAAGTCTGGTCTCCTGCTATATGAACTGGAAGTGGTTGTCAGTTCATAAAAGCAATAGTCTCTAAAGACTGTCTCTCTTCCGCTGATTACAGAAGTGTTTGACAGTATCACTGCATTGGTTAGAAATGTAGTTTTCAAGCTAATTTTCTCCAGGCTATTTATGGCTATTTTTTTCTTGTGCCAATCTTATATTTAAAGTAAATTGTATGTCTGTTTGTTGGTGTTTGCCTTTCCCCCCAGGGAAGCACTTACCATAGCAATCCTGTGCCTTCTCAGCTTTCTTTTTTCAAGGCTTAACAAGTAAGCTTTTTTTATTCTCCACTAGAATATGTACCCAATCCCTGGTCACCTTATCTGTCCCCTTTCTGTACCTGTTTCAATTTAAATTCGTCTTTCTTAGACTTCAAGTTCCTTGAGTAATTGACAGCTGAAATAAGGTTTCCAGTTGTGAAAGAGTTCTGACTTGCCTAGGATCATCTTGGTACCCTGTATCTGGGAGCCCAGGATATGGAATTTTTTGTATGACGCACTGTGGGCTTCCACCATGATGTATTGCCTTTTTGCTTTGTAGATGTCCCCAGGAATTATTGCAAACCCTTTTGCTGCTGGTATTGGGCGCAAGAATAGCCTGGAAAGTATCTCTTCTATTGACCGGGATTTAAGCCCTGAAGAACTGGAGATCCTACAGAAGGTGAGTATTCTGGCTACAGTTGGGAGAATGTTATGGAGTGGAAAAAGTTTCTGAAAATCTCTAGTGTCTCCCTTGGTGCATGGAATCTGCAACATAATGGGTAGTGGACTTCCTTTTTATGGGATCAGCAGGTCCCAGCACTTTCATCAGGAATGCGCTAGGATGGGACTCTGAAATCTTCGTGAGGTTACAGGTGCTCCCGAGTGGGGAGAGAGCACTGGTTGAAGCGGCTCTAACTTTGGTCTCTCCTAGGAGATGGAAATGGTGAGAGAAGCAACTCAGTGGGAGAGAGAAGAAATGGAGAAAGTGGTGAGAGATTTTTCATGTAGCAGAATCTGTTCTTGACAGCGGTTCTGCCAAGCCTGTGAGCCCTAAGGAAAATGCCACAGATTATCTCTACCCAATTGTTAATGCCATGGGGGGCTTTGGGCCTTCTCTCTTCGTAGTGTACCGCTCAGTTACTTTAGCTGTTTTTTGGCTTTGACATAGCTTCCTATGTACCTCTTTGGTGGTACTCTTCTGTTATTTACAGAGTTCGTCTTTGTTACCCGCTGGTACTTTCTGGCCAAGCTGCGACTGAGAAAAATGGCCTAATAGCTTGGAAGTCCCACATTTAATCAGTTCTCTTCATACAGCACTCCATGACCTGACAGAGCTTTTATGAGCAAAGATGAGAACACACAGCTCAAAGTTGTCCTGAATTGAAGAAGTGGCGCTGTTAATCAATCGCAAGTTTGTGCTCCTCAGTTTACGTGATTGTTTTTCTGATTCGTTATAAGAATTTCGTATTTCTGCCCACTATTTCAGCCTTTCATAGAAATAGATTAGCAGAGTCAAGCCCCTCCAGGACTTGGATTTTCTAGTTATCCCTCTTAAAACTGTAATTTATTCAGTCAGATTGTTTTGGAAGATGAGGGAAAATTTAATTCTTCAGTTTTGTCAGTTAGGAATCTGCTCTCCTGGCAGATAAGTATGTGTACTTACGCAGATGTTTCTTCAGGTTCCCCATTTATATATACCTATTTCTTTAGGTTCTTTCTGTAGTTGTAATCACTCAGCTTTTTTTATGTTTGCTACCCCACAAGAGTATAGTTATGTTGGCAATTCTTGATGGAGGTGATCTTTATAATTTAGTTAACACTAGAGATTTTACTTGTTTCAGAAAAAACGGTCAAGGTTTTGAATAGACAATGGCACAGACTGTAAGAGGACAGAGCAATGAACAAGGAAATGGCCATATGACCTTTTAGGCATGCGATATGTGTAATATCGCATATATATTTCATATTTGTATAATCCTACTTTGCCTTCTGTCAGTGACTGCAATGGGCTATGAAGGGTATGATTTTAAGAAAGACTAGGGTATAGAGACAAAAGGGGTTCAGCGTGTTGCAGACTCCCTTTGGAAGCTTTGCTTTATCTTTGCTGGCTTACATCTTAGACTGATGTCAGCATGTGCAGGAATAAGACAAGGGATTTCTGTCCTGAGTATCTGCAAGGTGTTCTGATGGTGTTTGAGATCTAGACTTAGATGGGAATTCTTCCAGTGGAATGACCTTACAGAATAATCTTCAACCTGATCTAGTTGAAGATGCCCCTGCTCACTGCAGGGAGGTTGGACTAGATGACCTTTAAAGGTCCCTTCTGACCCAAACTATTCTATGATTCTATGAATAATTTGGGTAGGAAGGGACCTCTACAGGTCACTTGGTTCAGCTCAGAGCAGAGCCAATTTAGATCAGATCTAGGTTTTTCCTGTAAAATGTCTTGTTCTTTGCCTAGGAAAGAACTGAGAGTGGTTTGTTGTGGTTTCAGAAAACCTGATTTTGTAGTGTTACTGTTACAGCAAAGAGTATTCCTACCAGTTTTATGTTGGTAGCGTATGGATATGAATACTCTCTAGGAGACTTCAGGTAGTATGAGTCATTATCAGCATTTCTAACACCTCTGGATAAACCAAGAGCAAGTCTGGCCCCAAAACCACGCTGCTCTGTCTGAGCAGGTGGCATTAGTTCAGTCTTGGGTAGATAAAGGCTTTTTCAAAATTTATGCTGAGATTACTTAAAAACACCCCAGAGACTTTGTCAAAAAAACAAAAACCTTTATGATTGGTGATGTAGCCTTGGCCATATGTGATTTGAAAAAGTGCTGATGGTATTATGATAGCTCTTTATGAAAAACTTGAACTTGAAATTTTATTAAAATGGTTAATTTAAAAGATAAAAAACTTAGCAATAACTAGTCGTTCAGCCATCAGCAATATTTCAAAACAATGGTGGGCATCTTATAGCAATAGAATCATAGAATTGTTTAGGTTGGAAAAGACCTTTAAGATCATCAAGTCCAACCGTTAACCAGCACTGCCAAGTCCATCACTAAACCATGTCCCTAAGCACCACGTCTACCCGTCTTTTAAATACCTCCAGGGATGGGGACTCAATCACTTCCCTGGGCAGCCCGTTCCAGTGCCTGATTACCCTTTTGGAAGAAATTTTTCCTGTTATCCAACCTGAACCTCCCCTGGCGCAACTTGAGGCCATTTCCTCTCGTCCTGTCACTTCTTACTAGGGAGAAGAGACCGACCCCCACCTGGCTACAACCTCCTTTCAGGTAGTTGTAGAGAGCAGTAAGGTCTCCCCTCAGCCTCCTCTTTTCCAGATGCTATCATTATTCTTCATGGAGGCTGAACAATACTCTGTAATTGTGGTTCATCTTTCTTGGATGTTTTACTTTTGATACATTTTAAACCAATATTCTGAAGTTGCAGTGATGTGTATTTAAGGACTTCTAAGTTAGATCTATATTCCCATATACTGCCTTTTCTCTCACTGTAGTGTGGCTTAGTATAATTACAGTGTTGTCTGTCCCAACCTCTGAAGAGCTAGAGCTGAGAAGTATGCCTATAGCCTGGTGATCAGCAGAGACCAAGATTCCCCTTCAGAATTGCCTGTGCCTTTAAAAGATTTCATATTTTTTGGTGCCCCTTCCATTAGGGTAATAAGAGGAGGTAGCAATGGATGCTCCAGACTCCTCTGATGTCTCGGGATCCATGGCCTGGGACCCAAGAGCAAAGACAAGTTTTTCTGCAGTTGCCTTTTAGCATGACCTTGAAACTGGGATTCTGTCTCTAATACTAGTTTTGATGATTAAATTTATACCAGTGATGGAGCCATCACTGTATGGTAGCCATTGCAGTGCTGTAGGGAGCTCCCACCTCAGTGCCAGATCCTCAGTAATACTATTTGTGTCACCATTCTTGGACCTTTCCTCTAATACTTCATGTACAGTACTTCATGTACAGTACTTCATGTACAGTACTTCATGTACAGTACTTCATGTTCAGTTTTGCACAAGAGTGATAGAGATCAAATGTGTTTCCTTACAGTAAGGTTGTGAACTGAAGAAATGGGAAGAATTTTGGCTTTGTTATACTCACCAGTAGTCACGTAAAGGTTTTCAAATACCACTGTTGCACTCACCGCGTACATCTCTCAAGTTCAGTTCTTTGATAATTCAGTTTCTAGTAGCAATATTAGTAACTCCAAATCTCCATGGACTGATTCATGGTGCATTTCTCTATCCCAACTCTGTAGTTATTTTTCTAGTCTTAATCCAGAGCTTCCCCAGGCTCCCCAGATGTTGTCAGGGATAAATTGTGAACATTCGACAGCTCCATGTGGGCTGGTTGGCACTCTTGTCTCTATTCAGCTTAAGACCTCAGAGGAGGATCGCATACAAGATTACTGTCAGCTTGAACACTCACCTTACAAATAACACTTGTCTGAAATAAGCATAACCAGATTCAGAATAGGCTTTAGCTTAAATATCCCTAAATATCTCCTTGGGTCTTGTGATCCTCCAGAGCATTAGTGTCTTCTCATGTTGCTCCTTAATGTCTGGAGATCAGCGATGTGATGTGGGACACTGATTATTTGCTAGTGGTAATCCACAGAAGCTTTTGAAGAGAAGGGCCTAGGTGCTTATCAGAATTTTCAGTTAGGTCCTTCTGTATTTCTCAGATGCCTTCCACCTCCTATCCTTCCAGCCTTGGGCCTTTTGGACCATCTGGTTGCTGCTGTTTGGGAGGAGCAGTCAGGAGGGCTGCAATACACAACAGAACGGAAGAATGATGCTGCTTTTGTCCATAGCCCTCACTCTGCAGCATAGGTGCTGGGCAAAAAGTCACAAAAGTATAAATGCACAGAAATCATTCTTTAAGACAAGTAAAATGTTATTACCTTCCTCTTGCAGCTTGGAAGCAAGGCCATAGCTGGGGCTTGTGAGATTAGTTGCTGGTCACTCTTATAATATTCCTGTGCTGTACTGAATGACTGAGAGCTGACCAGCTGATTTTAAGCCCTGCCTTATGCTTATACAATTTCTGTCTCTATATTTAGTCTTTTGGCTGTGATGCTATTAACAAGCATGTGATTTTTTTAGGTCTTTTTCCTTAGTGACAACTAGGCCTGTGCTCTGTAGATTTGTTTTTCCATTCCCTTCCAGCCTTTCCAGTCTGTGCTCTGTCAAGATGTCTCTTCTAGCAATAAGCAATCTTCTCCTTTCCCTTGGTGATGGTGTAGCTTGTGCTTGGGGAGGGGCTTTAGCTCCCTTAGTGTTTCCCCAGGATTGACCCTGCTGAGGATCTTAGAGACATCTGCTCTCTTCCCCTCATCTGATGACACCCTGGCTTGTGTTGTACGGGGCGTCCATTCCCGTCCGTTTTGCTGGCGATAACCAAGCTCATGCAGAATTCCAGCTCCTCTTTCCC